GTTCGCAGCTATGAATTTTCCTCTGAGAACTGCTTCTATGAGTCCCATAAATTCCATTAAGTTGTGCTTGAATTTTCGTTGAATTGTAGATATTGTTGAATTTCTTGTTTAATGTCATCTGTGATCCAGTGGTTGCTGAGTAGGATGTTGTTTAATTTCCATGTATTTAGGGTTTTTTTGTCATTTATTTCCAGTTTCATTTCACTGTGGTCAGATAATATGCATGGGATAATTTCTATTTTCTTGCATATACTTTTTGCTCATAATTTCCTTATAAATCCAACCTATTCCATACCTCTCATGGGGAAAGATTTCATTCTATCATTGTCTTTTTCTCACCTGTCTTCCCACAGTGCTCATCCTATAAACCTAACTTCAATGCACAGCCAGCTCCTCCTTCCCCTTTCCCTTGTCGACCACATACTCTGAAACACTTCCAGTCCCACTTGCACCACACATGCTATTCCTGCACTGATGTGCCTCAGAGATCCCATGGCCTTTCCTTACATTTCCCAATACCCAATAGTCCCAAACATCAGAGAGAACTCAAGCCCATCATTGACCATCTCCTTACTCCTCTCCTTCAACATGGTCATGGTAAAATGACACATTCAGATCACAGACACCTTCTTGCTTCTACCCAGACCACCAGCCTCACCAAGTGTTGCCTGTACATGCCCATTCCAAAGCCTGATGTCATGGCCATCCCAGCCATACCCAACAATACACATTCTGTCCTCTTCCTAAAAAACCTTTAGCCATTGATTTCTTCCTTTTATAATTCCCCTTTTCCCACAATCTCACATATTCACCACACTTCCAGACAAGCAACACAAAACAGACACAAAGTTGTTTCTGTGTGGCACCTCAGTACATACAACTCCTTCTTCCTTCGGCTTGCTCCCCTTCTAGGGCCCCTCACAGGGCATGCTATTATGTTCATGGTAGCCCCCTGACTCATTTCCCTTATCCGCAATACTGTCACCAGTTTAACAACCCAAAATTTCTATCCAAATACTTCAATCAGATTACTCCTACAAGACCTTGCGCCAAGGAGATCTTCGATGAAGCCAACTCCTCACCCTGATCTCCACACTCATGGCCCATCGATGCTCCTGTTCAGCAGGAAGTAGCCAAATGATTTCTTTGCCCTTTTTCTATCAAATAGAGTCTGGGATGATAGGTCAAGACTCAAAGTTTCCCAGGCACCTTGAATTTGGCTTTAAATTGTAATACAGCTGTAATAGGAGTAAGTGGTGGAGAAAAGAGGATGTGGCCATCCACACAAATATCCTCTCCTGTGGTAAAGAGAAGCCAATAGATAGAAACTCAGTGGAAACTAACACAATTGAATGCATAGAAACTGGTAAGTTAGGATTCAAAGTTTCCCAGGCATGCTGCCCCAAACACTTTCTCTTGGTTTCCCAGGCACCCTGCCCCAAAATTCTCTCCCCCGTGACCCCACACAGAGCCAAATCCAAAACCACAGAACAGGTCCACCTGACTTTGATCTGGGTAAGCAATAACAAAACTCTCCTTTGTTAACATTAAAGGTCCCCCACAGACCAGGTAGCTACCAAGATTAGCTCTCTCTCAGCTGTTCCAGCCAGCAATCACCCTCCCTAAAAGATCCTATAAATTCTCCTGCCCCTTTATTCACTGCTGTTTTTGTCTGCTAGACAGCCAGCCTACTTGATGCCTCCAATAAATCTTCTACTTGCATCACAATACCTGGTCTGGTTGATTGGGTAGGTTTGTATCTAACAGAAACAGAGATCAGGAGAAGGGTTAGCAGAGGGGGATGGGAGAGATGAGAAATAACAAAGGAAACAAAGCCTGAGGTATGAGAAATAAACTTGACTTTTTTCAGATCTATGGCACAATGTAATAAATATAGTAATAATTAAATACTGCACAGTTTAATATTACTAAAAGAGTATATCTCAAAGAGTCTCAGCACAGAATGTCAAAAATATTTGAGGTAATGCATAGGTTAATTGGTTTGCTTTAATTATTCCACATTGTATGCAAAAATCAGAGCATCGCTGTCTTTCATAAATCTATACAATTATAATTTGTCGAGCTTTAATAAAAACAGAATCAACAGATATCCTAGTAGGGTTGATTGAAGTGAAGAGGCTCTAGTTGTGGGCATGTTGGCATAGCCCATCCTGTAATTCTAGTTACTTGGGAGAGTGAGGCAGGAGAATCATAAGTTTGAAACCAACCTGTGTAACTTAGATTTTTTTCTCAAAAATATTTTTTTTTAAAAAAAAGAGTGATTCCGGGGACGTATGGTAGAATTCTTGCCTAATATGCAGGAGTTCTTGGGTCCATCCGTGTATTGCGGGTTCTTATGTGCTGATTTTAAGATCCCAAAGAAAACTGTCCAACTTTCTGCTTCCTGCATTGTTTGTTGCTAATTGTCATGCCCCCTCTATAGGTCTGTTGTCTTGTTGATTTGTATCGGTCAAAATGCCCCAAGAACAGCCCTGGCAGCTTGAAAGACAGATTTGATTAGAAACAAAGCCTCCTACATATCTTCTGTTTTGAAAGACTTTTGGTTTTTGCTAGTGCTGAGTGTATGTCCAAATAACATTCAATTTTTAAATCTGAATGCAGTCTCACTCCCTGAGTTTCAAAAGTGTGTTCCATACCTGGACAGAAGAGCCCTGTAAAGTCATGGGATGCAATTTGATTTTCAAAGCGAACATTTGCTTTTATGTGCCTTGTTTTCTGGGAAGATTCCATTTCTTGGTGGAGGCGATGATGAATAGATCTACCGAGAGCCTGGCTCAGGTATCAAGCCGGAAGCTTGTCAGGGTGAAACACGGTGTAACCCTTTCCTTCATCTTCTTCCCCAGCCTCTAACTGACACGTGGGTGCAGTTGACACTCTGCTTCCACAACTATTATGGTTTAGATCTAAAATAAAATCCCCCTTAAGTCTCATGTAGCCAGAGATGTTATACAGCACTCATCAGTCATTTAATTCATTCATAAATTCATAGTTGAATGTGCTCTTAGGAAGTGGGGTGTAGTTAGAAAAGGCACACTGGGGTGGGACTGTGAAGGAAGTGTTCTTGTCGCCAGCTCCTTTATCTCTCTCTGCTTCCTGGCTTCCAAGAGAGGAAACCTTTCCTCTGCCACATCCCTCTGCCATGCCGTTTCTGTCTGGGAGCTGGGGGGCCACTGAATGGACACTCTGAGCTCACAAGCCAAAAACCTCTTCTCGTCAAGCTGCAGTTTACAGTACTTTGTCCCAGCATTGAGCACACTGACTGGCAACAGCATCTCATTTCAGACCCTCAACCTCATTTTTATGAACTGTGCTGCGAGATACGGGTAAGAGCTCTCTAAGAAGAGACCATGAGGGAGCTGCTCTCTACCTATGCTGGAAGATTATTTCCGGTGATCAAGGTTGGTCAAACTCTACCTGTCACTAGCATGTTCGTTTGCCCATTTTTCTTAAAAATAAGAGCTAAAGCTAATCCATTGTGTAGATCCATTGTCTCACTCAAAGCCAAGCCAGTGAGGTAGGGACACTTGACTATCTCCATCTTTAGATGGACAAACCACAGACCGGAGTCAGAAGGGCATTGGTTCACTTTTTTGGTGAGTTGTCAGAACTAAGCTCTCAGCCTCCATGAGAGACCACCTTCCAGTTCTTCCTTCGATTACGTAGGTGTGGATTGCTCACTACTTTGGTGTGGAATTCAAGAGTGCGGTTGGACAGAAAGGGCTGCCCAGGGACAGAGTGACTTCTTGTTGTTGCCTCTTCCTGCCAGCAGGTGGCACACCTACCCAGTGAAAGCCTGTCACGGTTCCACCGGTGTAGGGGCGGCTTCAACTCAATTGGGCTGTGGAACTGTTCCTTCCTGGCTGGATTTGCCTCATCTTGTTCAGTGCAAGCAAATCCCCAAGGACAGCGGTGTACTGAGAACTGGTGTACTGGTGTAAAGTTATAGGGCTCTCTGTCTTTCATTAGACACACCTAACACATATGCTGACTTGAAAATTATTTGTCAAGATTTTCTCAATTCTGCCACCTAGTGTGTTTCAAACCACATAATTCAGGGAATCATATAATAATAATAATAATAATAATAATAATAATAATAATAACCAACTGTAAAACAAATTTAACCTTACTTCTTTACAGCCACAAGTCACAGAGTAATGATTAGCCATGACTCTCAAGGGACTTTTTTGGCCCTTTGTGTATTGAATTCAAATCTTGGGTTCACTTTTGTGGCACCCTGACCTCTTGTTTGCTTGGTGTTTGGCTTCCTCAGATGTCAGGTCTGTGGTGCGCTGTACATTGGAATGTGACAATGACTGCATGGAATTAATACAATAAATGTGTGGAGAAGCCCCTAGCATGCGGTGAATACTCTAGTGACAATTTATACAAAACTGAACACTGCCCAATCTCAGGAATCTCACTTTGACAGAAAAGGATCTTTGGGTGGTTAAAGTTTGTCGAATTCTTTGTAAGTCTTCAAATAGCTTGTTGGACTCACTTCTGTCTCCCTGATATAGTACATCTACGACCAGTTTCTATTTTAAAAGACAATAATGTTGTCATAAAGTCACTTAGAAATTATCCTAGAAAGGGACACTTAAACATTTAGCTTATGGGTGAGCCCCAGATCAGTGGCACTTTGGAATTATGCTGGTCTTCTTCAGACCCACACAGACAATTTGGAGATAGCCAAGTGGATCTTATCTCTTTAGGATCCTGTTCTCTATGTACCTAGCAAGGCATGGTGAGAACACTAAGACTTTTCCTGGGAAGAGACCTCCACTGTCCCCTTAGTAGAGCTGGTGTGTTGGGGCCCAGAGAAGGAGCTTGTGCCACTCTGCCCCAAACCAGGCTCCACACAGGCACACCATGTGAAGCACGAAGGTTAATTCCTAGCTGCCAGCCAGTATTTAACTTTCCACATAAGATTAGATTAAACATTTGGGTTCACAAAAGCCTAGGATTGCGGACTGCAGTTAGCAAGGGCTTAGCTGGTCACAAGCTGAGGTGCTCAACAGGCTGAGATTTATGTACAGTCCTGAAGAGCTCACTGCGCCAGTAGGAAGGTTCAGAGCAGGCTGGCTTTGCAGAGGAATTTCATACCACTCACACACTGAAGGTATGTTTTGTTATAAATTCTTTATTTTGGGGGGAATTGACAAAGCAATCTATTTTCAGAAAATGTGAAAGGAGCGATTTTCCTGCTATAAGACCTGGCCTGACTGCCCATCCTACCACCTATTTTCCCTTCATCTTTTTTTCCTGTCCTTCTTTCCTTCCTTCTTTCCTTGCTTCCTTCTTTTTCTTCTTTCTTCAGTAATTGGCTGTGGGTGAAGATTTTGGAAGTTTTTGTTTTAAATTGGTAACTCAAGGTAAATGTAGGTGATCATATATTTTCTATTCTTGATATAAAAATAAAATATTTTGCTGCCACTTGAAGGCTCTGTTGAAGCCCATAATCCATCTTCTTTTAAAAGAGAATCACACATGTAGGAGTTGAATGAGCACCCCTTTCCCTGCAGTGTCCAGACTGTCCTTGTCTCCAGTCAGGGACAGGGAGCTGGAATCAAGATCATTCTGTAACCTGGAGACAGGGCATAACTAACTGATGTTTACAACCCCAACCATGGCTGTGGCATTTTATCTCTTACCCAGCTGAGCTGACCAGTCTAGGCAATGGAAACAAGCAGTTATTGGAATGCTAGGCCATCATGGGGGCTGAGCGCTGGTCTGCGTGATTTGGGTTCAAGTCCAGGCACTGTGGCCAACGTCAGAGCCCTGAAATTTTGAAAGTGGTTTAAGATCTCTGGGCTATGCTTACGAAACTGTAAGTGCGCCTCAAGAATCTCCATGAGGTGCCCTGTGCCGTGACTCAGCAAGAGCCATTTATGGAAATGTTCCCCTTAAGTTGAATCACATGAAATTGCCAATATTTGACCATTTTAACCTACATCAGTAGAAATTTCCTATAGTTAAAAAAGAACATTCATAATAGTTTTGGTATTACTAACCACCACTGTGTGGTGTGTATGGTAGGATAAGTCTACACACTAAAAATGGTTAGTATCTATCAGTCCAGTAGTTATCCTGGCAATCACAAGTTTCAATCAACCCTTGTATCATTTGTGTATGTTTTGGCATAGTGTCTATCAATGAAATTGCTTTCACAAACTGTGATCTGGATTTTTCCTGTAGTCCAGGCATGGACGGTGGGCTTCCCAGCCAAACCACATCTCACACATCAGTTTTAAAAGGTAAATCTGCTTGGCCATACTTTTTTAGCCTGGACAGGCTAAAGTAGTTAGTAGTTAATCCCAAAGGCCCTGTGAAGCACTGGGATTAAGTCTGAATCAAGAGTACTCCTAACCTGCTTAGCAGTGGGCTTGTGTCTCTGTTAGAAGAACTTGACAAATAATCAGCCCCACTGGCCTCTCCCCCACTGAGGGCTGGTGAGCATTGTCCTGACTCCAAACCCAAATAAATTCAAAAGTGATTTTTGCTGAGCCCTTGTGGACTGAATTCAAGTCTGGGTTTCACATCTGTGGTAACCTGAGCTCTCAGGCCCTCTCTGCCTGGATTCCTCAGATGTCAGGTTTGTAGTGTGCCACATTGGGCTGTGCCACTACTGCATGGAACTAATGTACCACATGTGGAGAAGACCTTGGCACACCACAAATACTCATTGGTGAAAGCTCATAAAGCCCTACTTTGTAACTTCAGGGAACTCACAATGAAGTCTCTCATCTCAAAGTTGTATTGTTAAAGAGAATTTTGGAAGAGTAATAAAGAGCCCAGGAGAACCCTGAAATTCAACGTAGAGCTTCCTATATGCATTTGTGCATTTTCCTGGGAAAAATAAACTCACATAACTTTATTTTACTTTCAAGGAATTTCTGGCACGTAAAGTACACACCCTCAAATGAGTCGAGAATTGCCATTCTGGTAGTTTCCCATTGAATTCCACAGAGAGAGGAGCAGCCATTCTTTTACTCATTCATTCCCCAGCTATTTGGTAAAGATCCATTGGGTAGAGTCCTGGGATTCAGAGATAAATGAAAGTGTTCTGGCCCTGTGGCAGGTCAAGTGGTCAAGTGGTCAAGTCATGATTCGGTTCACATTGTCCCCCAACATCAGCCTCCTCCCCCATAAAATGGGAGCAGCAGTTCTGATCTTGAAGAGCGCTTTTTCTGCACGTGTCTCATTAATAAACACACAAGAAGTGGGTAATTTATTTTTTAAAAATGATAGTGTGCAAAAGACACATAGAAATAGTCTCCGGTAGATCTAGGCAGGTCTGGGGAGTTCTAGGGAGAAAGTGATGACTCTCCTGAGATTTGAAAACCATAGTGCAAAACCCACTGTATTTCCTGGAGTCAGCAAGAACAAGGGCATTTCTATCTCCTTCTCCTATGCTGGGCAACCTGGGAATAAACACACAGAAGATCAAGATGAGTTGATGGTTCTTCTCTGTCCTTATAGCCCCATCTCCTCCTCAGTGCTTACTTAAAGTGACTCATTCCCATTTTAGCTCTGAAATCTGAAGGCTTCTCTTGGGATATGGGTCCTGCATATCCTTGCTGAACATCAAAACACACCTCAGCTATGCTGCAGTCCTACAAAGAAGTCAAGCACTTTCCTTGATTGCTCACATGTGGTGAAGAGCTGATGGGATACTTTGATGAAAATGTCACAGAAAGATGATAATGAACATGGTCTTTCCTGTTGCCTTTCCCTTGTAACAATGAGGCTTTCACTTCTTTTGCTTAAAGAAGTAATTGATGCAAACAGTCCTTGGAGACACAGGCTGAAGACCTCTTATCTGAAATGACTGGAACCTGAAGTGTTTCAAATTTCCATTTTTAAAAATAAATTTGAATATTTGCATATACACAATGAAGTATCTTGGTGGTGGGCTCCAAGATTAAACACAAAATTCTCACTTCCTTGTATACATAGCCTGAAGGGAGTGGCATCAAATATTACTAGTGCATTTGGATCTCTGATATAGCTCAGGAGGTTAGGTGTGAAATTTTCTACTTGTGGGCATCATGTTGGTGATTAGCAAGTTCCAAAGTTGGGAGAATTTCAGACCTCAGATTGTAGCACTATGGATGCCCAGCTTGAACTGGGGAGATGGAGTAGACAGAGGAGTTCAGGTCAGTCAGTAGCTTGTAGATCTCTACCCTTTGGGGATCCAGACACAAGAGCAGGGTCTCACTGCCTGGTGCATCAGTAGAGGTTCAGTAACCAATGCACCTGGAGCAATTCTACTCTTGACAGTGCCTCTGAAAGAAATGGGTCTAACTCTCAGCCTAAATAGGACCCTCTTCTTCCCCAACTCAGTTTTTCCTCCTCACCCAGTTGCTCAAGACCTTCCCACACATGGAGTCTCCCCAATCCCACCCCAAGCATCTTTCTTCATCCTACCATGAGCCCTTTACTTCGGAAACTGAGCTCTACTGGCTTTTTAGTTGTTTCTATGCTCTACTCATTTTCCTACTTTGGCTTCCTCAAAGGAAACTGAATTCTCTTTAGAGTAATGGCAGAGAAAATAGACAAGGCATCAAAGCCACATTATTCTTTATTGGATGAAGCCATCGAGAAAGATTGGAGGGGGGAAACAAAAGAAAAGGGCTCATGTGTGAAATAATCCTGCCTCATGGTGTTTTCAGCAAGACCCTGTCTCCAAAGAAAAAAATTAAAAATGCTGGAAATGTAGCTCAGAGTAAAGGTATTGAATTGTCTCAATGCTCAGTACCACAAAAGAAGGGCATGGGGAACATATCTCCATTCCGTTGCTTGGAAAATGTGTTTGGTGTGTGTGTACTTTACATTGATCTTATCTGTTTGCTAAGTTTTCTTCCAACCTACTGATGAAGAAAGGAAAGGAAAGGATCTTGGGGGCTATTCGAAATGTCAGGCAGAGAAAAATATCTCCAGGAAAATTTGGGAAGATGTGATCTGTGGAATAAATACCTGGAAGTTTATTTTTGCTTATTTCCCAGATAGGCTGATCTCAAAGGACACAAGCTCAAGAGAGGTGAAAATTAAGAGGGGACCAAAACATCAAAGAGTAGCAGGTGGGAGAGAAAGGATCTTTCCAGCAGAAAGAATCCAGGTAGAGTGGAGACAATGTGCGAATGCCCGGAGGAAGGAAGCTTGCTGAGTTGGAGGAAGAAGTCAATTCTGTCTGAACTGTTACAAGCAAGGGGGAATTGGAGAAATGGGTCAAGAGCCAGCTCAAGCCAGGCTAGGTAAATCCTGTTAAGGAATTAGATCTTATTTTAAGAACAACAGAGATGATTGCACCATGTCAACAGCAAGGGAAAGGTGTGATCTTACTTTCCTCTTGAAAACAGCCATTGCTGGGGAACAGAGAGAACTACAAGGAGGTGCTTTTGAGAAGATCTGCATTACGTTGTCTTGCATCTCCCAGGTGAGAGATGTTGATGGTTGGGTGGGGATGGAGAGGAGAGATGGGTTTGAGAAATACAGATGATTTCTCTGGATCAATTTCCTAAAGTATGTCTTTAGACTATGGCTGCATATGTACCTCCGTAAGATAGTTGTGAAAAACAGCTGCCCAGACCTATGAGTTGAAACAAACTGGAAAAGGCCAATGCCTCTTGCAATCTTGCACCTTGGTGTTGTCTGAATCCCCACAATTCATAAATGAGTCACTGCTTTGTTCGACTGATTTCGTTGAAAACTTGTTCTGGATGCAGCATTGTGCTTGCTGTGGGGAGGTTACCGATCTTTTTAAGAACAAAAGTAATGCAAGATTACTGATGAAAATTTGGAACATAAGAAAAGCCTGAAGAACAAAAAGTACATACTTGTGAGTATATCACCATTAACACTTCGATCTATCTAAAAGATCTGCCAGTCTTTTCTCCATTTGCATACATATTTATGAATAAATATATATGTGCATACAAAAATATGTAATTTTATGTCTTCCTTTAAAATTTGCTGACATGATCATGCATGCAAAAAGTGAGTAAAACGTACCTGATCAATTTAAAGACAACAAAATATGCAGTCTATCGCCAGCCAGGGTGAAAAGAAATATTACCATTCCTGCTTCCTCTCCCTTCTCCAGGGAGCCAAATTTGCAAAAAGGATGTTTTCTTAATCTCATTCATCTATTTGTTATTTGCACTTCCACAGGAAGAAAATATGATTACTTTATCCAATGTGACACAGACCCTGGAAGATGTCTTCAAAAGGATTTTCATTACGTATATGGACAACTGGCGAAGGAATGAGACTATGGAGCAAGCGGCTCTCCAAGCCACAGTGGATGCGGAGAACTTCTACTACGTCATCTTGTACCTCATGGTGATGATCGGAATGTTCTCTTTCATTGTTGTAGCTATCCTGGTGAGCACAGTGAAATCCAAGCGACGGGAACATTCCCACGATCCCTACCACCAATACATCGTGGAGGATTGGCAGGAAAAGTACAAAAGTCAAGTTTTGCATCTGGAGGAATCAAAGGCCACCATCCATGTGAACCCTGGTGCTACAGGGTTTCAAATGTCTCCTTGATTAGGGAGAGAGGTATGGCGCTGAGACCCGACATCCAGGTGCTGTGAGATGCCCACAGGTTGCACAAATCCACTGTCACTGCCTAGAAGACAGTAAGTTCCTCCTTGCTCTCCATTGAGAATTTTCACAAACATTATGTGGCTGGCCAGCTGAGACAGATGACATTTCAATTGTAGTGATTTATATTTGCTTATTGGAGGGACATTTTGTGCTGAAGACCTCTTTTATTTTCTATGCAATGTAAATGCCATTTAAATCAATGTCAGTAGTGGAAATAAAAGCAAATTTAAAGCAAAGGGCCTGGGCTGTGGCGGTGGAAAGAGAAAGGACAGATTCACAAATCACTGAACCTTCTTTCTCATGAAACATTAGCTTGGATGTGACAAATTCAATTTGTAAATACTCAGATGTATTTTTCAGAAGCTGAGGTTCAAAATTTATTACTTGCTCACTGGATTGACACTGAAATGTTTCTTATTAATTTATGAGCACAGTCTGATGTGATGAATGAACAGAACCACAAGGTTACATTTATTGTTTCCCTGGTATTTAACTTACTTGGAGATTTGAAGATAGAAAAAAACATTGCAAAGGGCAAATAATCCATAGCAGCAAAGTCAAATATTTAAGAAACAACTGGTGTGACAGAAACATATTTGAAACTATCGTTTAAACTTTTGTAGAAAATTAACCTGTAAAGTTCTCATTATTTAAGAAAAATCGTACAAAGTTATGGCATGGATCTATAAAAACTCATTCTTTTCATTTAACTGCATTTTATTTACACTTATTTTCCTTTATGTTTGAAGAGACTAAAGTTACAGAAAGTGTCTAAATTGCTGATGTCTGTTGAAAAGCTAGACAGAAACTGCTATTTTGTAGCATGGTAGAGGGCGGGGAGCCAGGGAGATGTGGGCCAAAAGATGCAAAATTTCAGTTAGATAGGAGAAATTAACTCTAGAGATCTACAGTGTAGTACAGTATGGTATACAGTATGGTAACCATAGTAACAGTGTATTGTACTCTTGAAAATTGCTAAGAGTATGCTGGGTGTGGTGATGGAAGCCTGTAAATCCAGAATTTGGGAGGTTGAGGCAGGAGGTTTGCCACAAGTATGAAGCCAGACTGGGATACAGGATAAGTTCAACATCACCCTAAACTATATAGCAAGATCCTGTCTTAAAAACAAACAGCAAAGAGTGGTTGTGAAGTGTTCCCCCCCCCAAAATGGTAACTACAGTGTACTTGTGGTATGGCAATGCCTGTGTTAATTAGCTAGATTTAGACATTCCACAATGTACATATACTTTAAAATATCATGTTATATACAATAAATGCATGCAATGTTATCTGTCAACTGAAAAAAATCTTGCACTGTTGAGTACATGATATCAGATGGTCAGAGCTGGGAGGCATCTTGGAGAATCCCCCGTTCTTGTTAGATCCCTTCATTTGTAGATGCAGAAGCTGCAGTTTACAGAGATTTCACTCACTACTTCAACTGGTCGTTTGTCTACTTTGGAGACTGGCCTGGACCTCAGGAGTACTGCTGTGGCTTAGCCTATGGGTTCACCTACTGATGAGCTCAGTAGCTGAATGCACCATTAGGGGGCAAGGCTGGGCTGGAGGCAGTCACTGGGGCCATGACAGGGAGGCAGGGATTCTTGTCCCTAGCCCTTTCCTTCTTTCTGCTTTGTGATTTTGTAATGTGAGCACTTTCTTTCACCATGCCCTGTATGCCTTGGAGCCCGCTGACCATGGGCTGAAATCATGAACCAAAACAAATTCCTCTTCCTTTAAGCTGGGAGAGTCAGGTATTGTTTAGCAGTGACAAGGACAGAGGCAGTCTATAGAAGGCTGTGGGACAGGAGCTCAGTCCGGATAGAACAAGACAGCTATGGAACAGGTGGATAAGTTGGGAAAGAGCTGAAGCAGTGACAAAGGGCAGGTATAACTTGGGTGGAGTCTTCCCTTGCTGAGCCACTGAGAGGGGAGAAGGGTCTCAGTGTCACGGTGCTTCAAGCCTCATCTTCTCCCCCTCCCTGGCCTCAGGCCACAGTGTACAAAAATGAAATTCACAAAGGGAGTTCTTTTTCTAAGCTCATTTGTAGGAGTGCTTGCACTGCCTTGTTTTCTACCACTGTATCAGAAGACCTGAACTTATTTTCAAAGAGGTTTATTTTACCTCTTGTGCTTGGAGGCTGAGGAGTCCAGGCACATAGTATCAGCCTCTGCTGAGGGCCTGGGTTCCTTCAACTCATGGTAGAAAGTGAAGGCCAAGCAGGTGCGCGCAGGAGAGGTCAAAGACCAGAGGTGACCTTGCTACCACAACAGGCTCCCATGATGGTAAGAAATCTCCCATTCATGAAGGTGAATTGCTTATGGCCCTTCCCCTCTCAACACTATTAGACTGAGGCTTCTATGTGTGTGGGGACAATCCATATTCAAACTATAGAAGGTGATGTTATAGAATGAGATACATACAAGGTTTCTGTTTCCTGTAACTAAGTTGAAATTATGCTAATGGAAGCATTAAATATTAGTGTTAGGGGAAGGTATTCATATGCCAACTGCAAGAGGCCTCATTCCTCACATCAGAAATGCTGTTGTTCTCAGACACACCTATCTCAGGGAGCCTAGAACAGCAACAGAGCTAGCAATTCCAGGCTTCAGGTCTCCATCCACACTGGAGGATGAAGTTTCCACCAGGTGATGCTAACTTTCCTTGACTAAGCTCTAGACAGGCTCTCTGAGCCCTCTCCTTGACTAGACCACAAGCTTGCCCTATAAAAACCATAGACTTTTGGCACAAATGATTTGTCCCCCTTCAGACAGGAAGAGACTTGATCAAGTCCTGGCATGCTTCTAACAACTCAAGGCTGTATCCTTAGGGTGATCTTACCCCGTTTAAGGTACCTGCCTGAGAAAAATGAAGTACAGTGAGCACACTGTCACAAAAATTGACTGTCCAGAAAATCCTGGAGACAAGTAGAGAGGTTCCTGAACACTCTGGGAACAACTGAGAAATTGCAACTATAAATATCCCGTCCCTCTTCAAATGTAATTTTCCACCACCCAGAAACATCTTGTCCTCCTGGAAATGCAAACATTAAAACTCTCCCTGCTGGGTGTGTCTTGCTATAACTTACATCACTGTCACCCATTATGGATGTGGAAGTTTGCTTCTTCTCCAGATAGCACCAGTGAACAAACCCAAGAGACAAATGAACACCGCCCTTCTTTTCATGAATTCCCACTTTCTGACTCTGTGAGCCCTGGTTAATGTCCCATCACTTCTGCACTAATGGAAGTTGAGCCCAGTTCACAATGCATCCTTTTTATCACAGAGCTTATGACTTTAGTCTACTGCTTTAACCAGTGTCCAGCTTTGTTTATCTTCAACACAGGAAAACAAACTCATAGAAAAAACAAACAAACAAACAAGGTTATCCTAACTATGTATAGCTTATTATGAGCAAAGAATATACAGGTGGCAGCAGAAATGGTTATCAGTCAACTTCACTGAGTCAATTTCACTTTGGGGGAATGGGTGAAAGGCTTTTTTTGGTACAAGGAATTGAACCCAGTGCCTTCACACTGAGCTACATTTCCAGCCCCTTTTACACTTTTTAAAAAATTATTTAATACAGGGTCTACAAGGTCTCACTATACAAATCGGACTCGAGGTGGTCCTCCTGTTTTCAGCCTCCCAAGTGCTGGGATTACAGGCAGGTGCCACCACACCCAGTCTCAATCACAGTCTCAGCATACCACAGGGGCAGGGCCAGCACAGCACAAACCCTGGTCCCTGCGCCTGACACTTTAGTCTGCTGAGCTATTTGGCCAGCCCCCCTTTTACATTTTTATTTTAAATTTTGAGACCGAGTCTCCCCAAGTCAGTACATTGCCCAGACTGGACTCTTTGCCATCCTTTTGTCTCAGCTCCCCACAGAGTTGCGATTACAGGCCCGTGCCACCATGCTGGGCTGAAACGCTGACAATCCACAAGCACTTTCCGTATATAGTTGTTGAAGCCATTTGCCCTAACTTCTCCCTCCAGTATCAGCTACCACCAATCTGGTTAACTTCCTGTTTTTCTTCTCTACACGGTTTGCTTTCACAGTGCCTCCTACTTGTTCCATTGGCTCCATAAGACATGAGTACCACTTCTTAAAGCACAGCTCAAAAAGTATTTAAAAATGAAGCCAAGGTAGGGGCTGACCTAACATCCAGGTTACCTGGGTCAAGTCTTCTTTCCAACACTTGCTACCTTAAAACTGGACAGATCTCTGTCTTCATTTCCTCGTTTCTGATGTCCTTTACAGGCTCATTATTTTGGCTTAAATTAGGCAACGGTCTCAAAGTGATTGAAACAAAGGTATTCGTGTTACTTTTCCCCGTGTATAAGCAAAATGTCCTCCTTTCAGTTTGCTCTTCCTTCTCTAACATTTTGCCCTTGACCTTCACAAGCAGCCAAAATGTGGTTAGATCTCCTGGGTACAAATACCACTTCGCCTCTGCAATCCCTAGCCTGTTTCCTTCTCCTCAGAGGGCTGAGCCCACCATGCAGCGACAACTGTATTACTTCCTTTATCCTTGCATTTGGGCGCTGAGTCTGTGCCCTGCGGCGCGCGCTCTGGGATGCTAGCACCAAAGGAAAATGCATGCATGCGTTCTGTCACGAGAGAAGACCAACGCTTAACACGACACTTCTGAGGATCTGAGTGTCCTGAGGTGTACACTGCAGCAGCGAGGACGCAGCCAGGTAACCTGCGACCGCGGAGGGCTTTGTCGCCATCCGGCGTGTCTTCTGGCTGCAGTCCTCTTCCACCTCCTGTGACTTCAAGATGAGTGTGCCCCCGAATTTGAACAAATATACCCTAGGTTCTGCATGAAGGTGCTCAACCTACCCCATACGCCGGGGAGTGTGCACTAAGCAAAGCCCATTTCACCAAAGGACTGAGCCTTGTTTTTTACATTTGCATCACGAGCTCACCGTGGTGAGCATTTCCAGGACCCACTGCGCCTGCGCACCAGGCAGTGGTCGCCCGCCCGGGCCAGTGCGCAGGCGCGACGAGCAGTACGATGGGATTTGTAGTTTCCACAATAGGATTGTGGGAGTCGTGGTTTGCATATTGACAAGGTGTTAGAGGCTCCGCCACTGGACCCTGGTAAGTGCGGGTGGTTTATGGGTTGACTAGGGCGTTGCGGCCGAAACTCGTGAGTTCTTCGGGGCGCTAGGGAATCCGGCGGGCAGCCCTGCGATTGCATGCAGGTCCTGGGCGAAAGAGTGACGGGCACGACGTCACGCCCCACCCCAGAGTGCGGATTGCGCAGAACCTGGCACGCGATCCTTGCAAGGCCAGAGTTGGTGGCCAGAGACAGTTTATTTTCGATGATCTCGTCACGAATGAATGTTCTGGATGCTTTGTTGAGTGGTAGGGTGAGAGATGCGAAGACAGCCCCAAGCCCTCATCCTGAGATCTCAGGGAGGCATGTGTTACTTCCCGAGTGCCAGGGCTGGGGATAGGAGTAGGCTCCGGCCCCCCGAGCAGTAACTGAGGTCCACGCAGAACCCTGTGATCCCCCGAGGTATTGGTCTGCCTGGCCGGTGGTAGAGAGGCGCAGTCCTCTGGCCCTCACTTCTCCACAGATCCCTGAAAGTTTGGGATGTGGTGAGTCTGGCTTCCTGAAGGCCCTGTGCAGAGCCAAATAATACCCAAGGGTCACCACCTACCACCCCCCTCCCAATTCATCCCTGGTGCAAATGGTTGTTGAAGACGATAAAAGACTAGACATGGGAACAGTTTCAGAGAACTGAGAGAGAGTTGAGACCCTCACTTTATCAGAAGTGCCAAGAAGAAAGTGGAGTTTACTGATGATTGTGTAATTGGCCTAAGTGAATAGCTTTTGTTTCTAGGAGAAAGTTGACAAAGGAAAATCAAGTATTTTAGAGTTTTTTTTTCAATAAAGGAAATAAAAAATAGATATATGTAGGGTTGTATCAGTCATTTGCAATTTTTGAGGTTGCAGCTAAGACTAGATAATTATATGTCAGGTTTAAAATTCCCTGCCCTTCACAGATATTATGTCCCTCAAAACTGTCCCCATCTTGGTGGCTTTTTGCAGTTCAACCCTCAGGTACTAGCTGCCTCTTGTTGCTAATATTATATTGAGTGTGCATATGATATCAGAGCAAATAGCTTGCTGATATTTTTAGCTTTCTTAATCTCGTTTACAGAAGGCCTGAAGTGTGCTATAAAAGTGGCTACTTGGGCATATAATTTAAGGGAAGTGGGGAGAAGTTGTGATTTCAGTTGTGACCTGGGCTAATCAGAATGTTTTGCCCTCTTTTCCACACCCTCGTTCCACTTCTTCCACTTCAAGTGCAGTATAACTTCCCGTTTCTTTCTTAAATAAGTGTGAGTTTATCAGCCAGGTTATGAAGTTAAGGCAGCTCCTACTATATTTTTGCAGTCAGATTCTGTGGAATCAGGATGATGAGATGGTGTCGTGAATTCAGAGTTGCAGAATCATTCTTTGGATTCTAATTTGTTGTTGCTTTTGGTACTGGATATTGAGTTCAGGGCCTTTCACTGAGCTACTTACCCAGCCCTTTCTTATTTTGTTTTTATGTTTTGAGACAGGGTCTTCTTAAGTTGCTGTGTTGGCCAGGCTGGGCTCAAACTTGCAGCAGGCCAGAGCGCTGGATTACAGGCATGAGGCACCATAACCCATCTAGATTCTGATTTCCCAAATGAGAATCCTGGTTCAAATGATTAACGACTCACCCCAGGCCATATACCTTGCTATTGATGCCAACAGGAAGAATCTGTAGTTCTCCTTGTCCTCATTTTGTTCTTTATTCCATGCCCTGCTATCCTTTAATCACTGCCTTTTGCCCTGAGTGTTTCCTGTTTATATCCTTAAGCTTAGTATGTCCATTAGTGGGAAGGAGATATTTGTCATAACAGTGATGGTTGACGTTGATTTAATGCTTTCTGTGTTGGAAATGATGCCATGTGTTGAAAGTCCATCTTCAGAAGGAGAATTTACAGGCAAGGGAATTGGGGCTGAGAGAGGCCAAGTGCTTTGTCCAAGGTCACTCTGCTAGGGAAAGTAGTATGTCCAAGGGGCCGGGGAGATGGCTCAGTAGAATAAAGTGCTTCCCTGGCAAGCGCAAGGGCCTGAGTTCAATCCCCGGTTCCGCAAAAAAAAAAAAAAAAAAAAAAAAAAGAAAGAAAGAAAGTAGTCCATCCAGCACCAGGCCCTTGGGTTGTTCGGGGTTTTGTTTTATTTTCACTTATTTCCTCCTGTAAGCTGTATGGACCTATTTGTTTTCCTTGCTCTTGTGAATCAATATTCTGTATGTATTTCAGTTCATGAGGTATCTACTATATCATCAGAACATTTGTGGGAAGAAGCTACCTCGCCTACTGTATTTTTATACTAATAAAAACAGGAATTTTAAAGATAAAATTTAAAGGGCTGGGGAGAGAGCTCAGTAGAATAAACACTTGCCTGGCAGGCACAAGGGCCTGAGTTCAATCCCCAGTTCCATCAAAAATAAATAGATAAAATTTAAAAGCACTTCATTTTAATGTCCAATATGGCCAGTCTGTAATAGTAATATTAGAGACTGGTCAAAGTTAAAGTTCTAGCAGTAGGTTATAGCATGGAAAAGACTTGTTCAGTGCAGGTCAGGATCTGCTGCTACCTAGCACGTGGGCCATTTATCCACGAGGTAACAGCACATTTAATCATAGTCAGCACACTTGAACAGTGCTGTGTTTTAAATACCTGTCCTTAGCTTATCTGACTTTGCAGAAGTTACAAGGCAAACTTGGTTATCTTGTGCCAACGGTTAACTGGCTTTCAAGACACTATAACCTTGAATGAGTAAGATAAGGACTTTTGCTGTTTAGATGTTTTGTTCCTCCTTGAAGTTCATTTAATCCTCCTTCTAAAGGCCTATGAAATTTTCTGCTGCTTTTCTTAATTCTTTTTTTTTTTTTCTTTATTATGTGTTTAGGGTCTACAGGCTCTCACTACACAGATGGGACTCATAGTGATCTTCCTGTTTTCAGCCTCCCAAGCACTGGGATTACAGGCACACACCATCACACCCAGTCTCAATCTGTGTCTCAGGGTGCCCCAGGAGTAGGCCAGCACAGCACACTGGGGATTAAACCCCAGTCCCTGTGCCTGCCTAAGCAAGCACTTTAGTCAGCGGAGCTATCTGGCCGGCCCCTGCTTTTCTTAATTCTAATAATAAGTGCATTAAAAGACAGATGTCTCCATGGTTTTGAGTGCAAAGCTGTCTGCCTGGATTAGGATAGCACTGAGTATAAGGTTCTGGAGCCAGCTGGCATGGAGCTGAATCACAATCCTACCTGGGAGACCCTGGCTACATTATTTAAACTTTCTTTTCTCACCTATAAAGTCAAGATAATAAATTATACCTCATAGATGGTTATGAATCTGAATGAATTCATCATTTCAGCACAGCCTGATAAAATAAAGTTAAGCTGTGATTATAATGCTGTAAGTCAGTAAATTTCAGAAAAAGCAGGGACCTTAGAGCCCATCTGTTGGCACATCCTTTCTTCACTCACAGTTGGCCCCAAGGGCTCAGAGGGAGTCACTTACCCGAGTATGTAGATTTTTCATCCAGAGCTTGTTTTCTGGCTCCCTGGGATATAGGTCATGTTCTAAGAGTAGTGACATAGATGGCCCCAGAACAAGTTGTGTGCTCTGGCTATATCACTGCCTGTCACTTCCAGCCTTCCGCTTGATCTGTCATTCTTTAGAGACAACATTAGATATGAGTTGCTTTCCTAGCATAATTTTTTCTCTGTCATTTACTCCTAATAACTTTCAAAATATCAAAGATTAGATCAATTAATAGAGGTCCTGAGAAACGGAAAGACATTCACCCGACCTGCTCATCTTTAGGGCAGGAGATGATGGACTGACTTTTGGGTGTGAACTCTCAGGTTCACAGATCAGTGGAGGGGAAACACGAGTCCCTCTGGAACATCTGGAGGCTGCAGGGAGCGTCTAAGGAGCGCTCTCTGCTCAGTGAGTGTCCTAATGCAGCCCTTCTGAGTGATGTGGGTCTCCTCGTTGAAGACACATCACCTGCTTCTCTGCAAAGCTTGCTTCTCTGCTCCCATGCCTGTCTCCCTGGAAGACACATCTTCCTAGGGTGGCTGCCCTGGATACCCCAAGTTGACCTGTTTCTTTTCTTCCCTGCAAAGCAGACTTTGGAAGCTCTGTGAACCTGACTCCCAGCTCCTTCTCATGCGCCTGTGTCGGGGGCCAACACTGAGCAAAGTGAACTCACAGTTTATGTATCATGAACTGGAAGGTGAGAAAAGTTTTAAACACTGATGGCTTGGATCTTTTTTTTTTTTTTCTCCAATTCATCAGCTTTTGGTCATTGTAATGATATAGGGAAGATAATTTCTTTATAAGACAAAGTGTTTTATTAAGCTCATAGTTCTGGGGATTCTGGTGTGTGCTGGCACAATTGTTGCTTTGGGCCAGTAGGGGTGGTGCCCAGTGACAGTGCCAGGGAGCACATGATAGAGCAAAGAAGTGGAAGAGGACAGACTAGGGTCCCACAGTCCCCTTCAAGATCAGCCTCCAGGGACCTGAACTTCCTGCTAGGCCCCAGTCTCAGGGTCTCCAGCATCTCCTCACAACATTGCTCTAAAAACCAGTCCTATAACACATGGGACATTTAGGGGGCGTTAAGCTTCCAAGCACTTCTGGTTGTAAAAATGAAAAATAGCAGCTCTATAGAAGCAGATTAATTAACAAAGAAAAATATGAAAGCATAATATATTTTGTGTTTTATCTTTTAGATTAAAACACTTTAATGTACATGTATTTCTCAGACTTGTGGAGGAACACAGGCCTTTCTGCAAATGTACATCTGCTCACTTCACATCAGTCTCATTTCTTGCAAAAAAACATAGCTTTAAAGTTTCACACTTTGGTTTCTTTAAAGCAGTGTACTGAATGAATGTTTCTGTTCTCCTAAATTTGCATGTTACAACCCTTATCCCAACATGATGGCATTTGGAGATAGATCCTGGGGGTGCTGAAGGGATCAGAGGACACAGCCCTCAGGCATGGGTTGGTGCTGTTGTGTAAGAGACCCCAGAGAACTTCTTTTTCACCCTTGTTCTGCCGCATGAGACTACAGGATTCTGCAGCCCAGAAGGACCCTCTCCAGAAACCAACTGTGCTTCCAGCCTCCAGAACCAGGCAAAGTAATGTCTCTTGTTTCTAAGCCAGCTGTGGTACTTCGTTATGATAACCTGGATTGACTAAGACAGAGATCTGTAGATCTCATAAAGCAATCTACATATAAAATTTCCAGATTTTTGTGTCCCTCTTCCATAATCTTTTATAGTGGGCTTGCAACACCTTTTTTTTTTCCTAATTCACACTTAAGTCTTTCAGAGCATTCAACTTACTCATCATGGAAACACCTTTTTTTCTAAGTCATAAGTAAATTGTCTAATGGAGCGTCAGGTCGAGTGCAACTTGAACTGGCTGGGGAATAAACACCAGTGGCGTCCGGTTTAGGGAGTAAGGAAAGATGTTCAAGGGCAGCCAGAGAGTGGCCTGGGCTGTCTGCATTCAGAGAGCTGGATAAGCACACTTTGACAGAGGGAAAAGAGAGTATAGTTTAATTGCAGGAGTCAATAGTGTGAGGTGATTGGTCAAGAGAGCAGCCACTCCAAGAAGTTTGCTACAGCCACTTTGCTAAGTATAAGATCAAACAGGAATCATGCATTATGTCACTATCCAGAGATCACTGCTACTGCTAACAAGATTGGTGTATTTTTTTCCAGAATTTTCTTCCACACGCATGTATGTGAGTGTGCTGTATTCATCAAGTGTAGGTCGTTACTGTGTTTTTTGGTAATGATTATAAGCATGTCTTTGTTCAGAACACCCAAAAGGCTGCTTATTGCAAGGAGGTCTGGCAAGGGTCTCTCCCAGCCTGGGAGGAGCCATAGGAAACTCAGAGCAGAGTCCTTGGCTGGCAGTCATAGTCAGTGCTGCTCATATGACAGCAGCAAATGCGACCTCAGTATTCAGAAAGGTAGACATTCCCATTTTACAGGTATTAGGACTTTATTTTTAAAAATGAATGCTGATCTGGTCCATACCAGTGAGAGCCATTTTCCTGTCTTGAGGTCTGAATGTTTTGAGAGATGAAAGAAAGAAGGAAGTCAGGAGATTTTGGACACAGCTGCAGCTCAGTACCCTGGCAAGGGACAGGAAAGGAGCCCAAAGCTCTCACCTTAGCCCTTTAGTGGCCTTGACCTTTGCTGTCTTTCACTGAGTCCTGAAACTTCTGCCTCTTGCCTTCTCTTCTGCCCTTCTACAAAAGGAAGTAAATATCAAAACCACTTGCCTGTGTGCCTTAGGTGACATGCTTCCTTTTCAAAGGGCTTTCTAACTTGTGCTTGAGACTGTTTGTTCTTGCAACTCCTACAGCTGAGTTTTAGATTTAGGTCACCGAGAGCCATGGGTCTTTCTGCTAGATCTTCAGTGACTCATCTACAGAGATGTAGAAACCTGAAAGAGAGTAACTTGTTCCAATGGGAAATGGTGCTTCAACCAGCCTAAAATGCCCGGTAAACATAAAGGGGTTATAAGACAACATTACACATTCTCCTCTTGCCTACATGGAGTCAGACTGTTGCCTCTGTAGTATGAACTTTGAAGAAATCAGAAGGAAAGAGGTCCATTGGGTGGGGTAGGTTATGTTAGCCCTGGGGTGTGGGCAACCTGACAGCCAAAACAGGCTAAGCTGTTATGTTTACAGAAGCTTCACTTCTGTAATGTTTATACTTTTATTCCATTGTTAGTGATCATGTTAAGGCCATATGTTGTATTTGTTCATCACTGTTAAAATGATTAGTGATTGAAAACTTCCAGAGCTACTGAATGTTCCTACTACTGTCATTAAAACAGTCTGAGGGCCGACCAGGTAGCTCAGCAGGATAAAGTGCCTGCTCAGGCAGACTCAGAGACTGGGTTTGATCCTCGGCCCGGTGTGCTGTGCCAGCCCTGTCCCCAGGGCGCACCAACATAGTGATTGAGACTGGTTGGGGTGGTGCACACCTGTAATCCTAGCCCTTGGGAGACTGAAAACAGGAGAATCACTACAAGTCTGATCTGTGCAGTAAGACCCTGTAGACTCTGTACTAAATACATAAAAAATAAATAAAAATTTTAAAAAACAGTTTGAATATTTGGAATCTCCCTGCTCAATTATATTCTTTATATTCTTATTCTATCACCTTGAAATCTTCCTCCGGTAGCCACACAGAAATAATTTCAGAGGTATCAAGTTCCGCTGCCTTTGTAAATTTAGGAGCCAAGCCACTGTTGATTTGCATAATTAAATTGTAAGACAGAG